TTTGACAATAATTTTACATAAGAAAAGTTTTTTTCAATTATTATTTATATAAATTGTTAAATTTTTATATAAAATTTATATTTTAAAAATTAAAAAATCAAATTAAATTTATTAAAAATAACAGAGGTGTATAAATTTAAAAATTATTTCATTTAATGTATATTTGTTTCCTTAAAAATCCTCTAGTGACTTTGCACGTGTGAAATCTGAATACGGACGTGCCACTTATTTTGCTGAAAGTAAGAAAAGAGGATTTTTCCAACGACTATTTCTTTTCTCATGTTCGACCTCTTTGTAGATGGCTGGAAAAATGTTAGATTAAAATTGAAATCTGCGTTTACAGACGATTTGCAAAAGAGAGGGATGCTTTCCTACAGAATGGGTTACGAAATTTGCTTTGGACAACTCCAAGAATTTAAACACTATCGTGAATTAAAGTTAATAAATCCTAATTAAACTAAATAGCATGCAATTTAAACTAAATTTACAAGAACAAAATGTACATAAATTAAATTAAACATGTCCATTGTTAAATTAAAATGCTATCTACTAACAGATCTGGAAATAAATCTACTACAGAATTGAAGATTTTACCCTAATTAACACTAAAATAAACATGAACATAAATTAAATTAACATGCTTGAAGTTATGAAGAAGTGGGAACGCCACATAAGTAATCATTAAAGAAATGCTACTTATCATAAATATTAAATTGATTGTAGACAGAAAAGGAACAGTACCTTAAATAAATTTGAAAGATTGAAGTTCATTGCATGAAACGAAATTGTTGAAGCGAATACATGAATTAATTTATCTACTGGAATGATGAAAAACAACCTAGATCTACTGAAAATTATGCTGAAATATGAAATCTGGAAGCAATTGTAGAGAAAATGAAAATATGAAAATTTGCAGTTATTTGAGTAAAGCTGGCCGTGTGTTCTCTCTTCCAAAATTTCTCTTTTATTCTCCTTTTTGCAACTGTAACTCCCCATTTTCTGCAGTTACCAAATTGTTGGCAATTTTCTTAAAGAAGTGGGACACCTCAACAATTGATAGGTCAAATTACCTTCCAGATTTCGCCACATGTCCCATTATTTCATACCCTATACCCATAACTTACACCACTTCTTATATTTCAGTCAAAACAGATCTAATTTAACTAAACAAGGTAATTAAAAGATAAAATCTTATTTTTTTTTATCTTCTTCCTTCCAAAATGGCACATGGGTCTAGAATTATATATCTGACATGACAAAATCTTCTCCATCCATTAAATTTTTTTTCTAACACGTGGCATGATCTTAAATTTTTGTAATTTATAGTGTTAAAAATATCCTATAAGGTTTACTAGAAATATAATACTTTAAATTTACAAATGCAAGAATAATATCAAATGAATTTGGTAAATATTAATATGGTTGTGATAAGGGATTTTATTGAAAAAAATTTCAACAAGTAATTCTTTTATATATATAAAAATTAATAATTAAATCATGAACTTATAATTGAGACTTATCTAATTTAACAAGTAATCAGTAATATAAAAAAAAGTTATCTTTGACTTTAATGATATCGAATAATAAATAAATACCATTGCGCAAAATTTGTGGCAACTGAATAAATTACCCTATCGATACCCGCCCCTGCCAAAGTCCCAGATACCCAAAGGCCCAATAATAATTGTGGGCTAAGTAAACGACAATCTATCAACTATTGCCCTTGTTGGCGTCTGTGACTAGCATCTTTTTCTTTTAGTTTTTCAGTGCTTTGTTTCTCTGATTCCCTCAGACTGTTGTTTGTAGTACAAATTCCATAGTAGAATCAAGCAAGGTAGGCGAAAAATTGTAGGTGGAAGATGGGCTTGACTGCATATCTGTGGAGTGCAGTGCCATTTGTGGCAATGATAACAGTGGAGTGCACACATGTGGGTCTATCAGTAATAAGCAAAGCAGCCTTGACAAGAGGAATGAGCAATTTTGTTCCAGTTGTCTACTCTAATGCCCTTGGTACCTTGATTCTTCTCCCATATTTCATCTTCTTCAGGTCTCTGTCTTGATCATAATTTCCTCCATTTACATTATGTTGGAAATTAGATCCTATTATTTAGCCATTATCTCTATATTTTAGGAAGTTTAAGTTATTTATTTGTTTTAGGTTGTTATCATTTAAATTAGATTAGATAAGATTGATTAGTTATCTTTTTAGATAATATTATCTTATAAAGCCTATTTAAAGGCTGGATTATTTTCAATTAATGAGAGATTCAATTTTTCATTCCATCTTCTTCTTTTCGTGATCCTTGATTTTTTAACATTTGTTATCAGAGCCTATTCCTGAAAAATTCCATGGCTTCTGAAAATTATGTCCAGCCCTCAATCCCTCGTTTTGATGGTCATCACTACGACCATTGGAGTATGTTGATGGAGAATTTTCTCCGATCCAAAGAGTATTGGACTGTTGTTGAAGGTGGAGTTCCAGAACCAACGGCGGGTGCAAATGATGCACAGAGGGCAGAAATTGAGAAGGAAAAATTGAAGGATCTCAAGGCTAAGAACTATTTGTTCCAATCCATAGATCGAGCTATCTTGGAAATAATTCTTAACAAGTCTACTTCCAAGAATATTTGGGATTCCATGAAGAAGAAGTACCAAGGCAATGAAAGAGCAACGCGGCAATAGCGCCAGGCTTTGCCGGCAGAATTCGAAGTGCTGTAGATGCAAATTGGTGAATCTGTAGATGATTATTTTGCAAGGACGATGGCTATTGCAAACAAGATGAGGATCCATGGTGAAAATCTGGAGGATGTTGCCATAGTTGAGAAAATCCTTCAGTCTATGACAACAAAATTCAATTATGTTGTTTGCTCAATTGAGAAGTCAAATAATATTGAGGCTCTTGATGAGTTGCAGAACTCATTGTTAGTTCATGAGTGGAAGATAAATCGCCAAGACAAGCAAGAGCAAGCAGTGCAGATTTCGCAGACACAAGCCTTGCAGACCACAGTTAATTCAAGGGCTGTAGGTCGAGGAAAAGAAATCTGGAAAGGCAGACCAAGATCTGGTAGACTGAGATCTGACAGATTGGAGGAAAGTTCAGCCACTGGAATTTAGAAAAGGTGGTAGAACATAAATTATTAAGCTGCAGATAACAGATCCAAATCTGCAGGAAAGGCAAATATTGAATGCTTCAGATGTCATAAGTATGGCCATTATCGTTCTGAGTGCCGTGTTAATCTGAATAGAGGAGAAAGTTCCAATTTTGCAGAACACAATGAGAAGAATGACGATTCCTCTCTATTCATGGTCTGTCTTCCTAAAGAAGTCAACAAGAAGAATGTGTGGTATCTGGATACTGGTTGCAACAATCACATGTGTGGAGACAAATCTGCGTTTTCAGATTTGGATGAGTCTTGTCAAGACAAGGTGAAATTTGGTGATAATTCCATTATTGCAGTCAAGGGAAAGGGAAAGGGAAAGGTAACCATTCATGCCAAAGACAATTCAATTCAGACTATGTCTAATGTTCTGTATGTACCAGATTTGAAGTCGAATCTGCTTAGTCTGGGACAGCTTCAGGAAAAAGGATATGAAATCCTTATTAAAGATGGAGTTTGCAAATTCGTGACTCAAAGCTTGGCCTGATTGCAAAGGTCAAGATGACGGGAAATAGGTTGTTTTCATTATACTTACAGACCACAAATCTGTCATGTTTATCTGCCAAATTAAAGGACACAGCTTGGTTATGGCATTGTCGATTTGGACATCTTTATTTTGGTGGGTTGAAAGCTTTGCAGCAGAAGAAGATGGTAAATGGTCTTCCTCATTTTGATTCTCCTTTAGAAATTTGTGAAATCTGCGTGGTCAGTAAACAGTACCGTGATAGCTTTCCTAAAGATAGATCTTGGAGAGCAAAGCAAGTGCTAGATCTGATTCATTCTAATCTGTGTGAACCCATAAATCCAACATCCAATGGAGGTAAATAATACTTTATTATCTTTGTTGATGATTACAGTTGCAAAACATGGGTGTATTTTTTGTAGACCAAGTTAGAAGCCTTAGCAGCCTTTAAAAATTTTAAAGTCTTGGCTGAGAATGAGGTTGGCAGATCTATAAAGGTTCTGTGGATAGATCATGGTGGTGAGTTTAATTCAAAGGAATTTGCAGATTTTTGTGAGTTCAATGACATTAAAAGGCAACTCACAGTAGCCTATACACCTCAGCAGAATGGTGTATATGAGAAGAGGAATCGCACAATCATGAATATGGTGCGAAGTCTGATGTCAAAGAGCAGTTTGCCTAAGGAGTTTTGGCCAGAAGCTGTTAATTGGAGTGTTCATATCTTGAACAGAAGTCCCACATCTCCACTTCCAGATTTGACGCCAGAAGAGGCTTAGAGTGGACGTAGACTTGTTGTTGATTACTTCAGAATTTTTGGGTGCATAGCATATGCATATGTGCCAGATCAGAAAAGGAGTAAGCTTGATGACAAAGGGGAAAAGTGTATTTTCCTTGGTGTTAGTGATCAGTCCAAAGCTTACAGATTATACAATCCTTTAACCAAGAAGGTCATCATTAGTCGTGATGTAGTGTTTGATGAAGCAAGCACTTGGTCTTGGACAAAAAAATCTGGGCAACAGATTCCTGCAGATTTTGAAAATGGAGAAGATCTGACTATGCAGAACTCAGAAGGTCAAACTTCAACAGATCTCGAGGTTTCAAGACAGACAGTCGAAGAAATTCTGCCTACAGAAGTAGAGTTCAGTACTGAAGGAAGTCTACCAGCAACACCAAAAATGGAATCTGGAACTAGTTCCAGACCTCAACGCAAAAATAGAAGACCAACATGGTTGGAAGATTATGAGGTAACAGATCTACCCCAAGATGATGTTCCAGTTAATCATTTTGCTTTATTTGTAGATTATGATCCATTGACATATGAAGAAGCTGTTAAAGAAGAAAAGTGGCAAAAGGCCATGGCAGAAGAAATTGGTTCTATTGAAAGGAACCAGACTTGGGAGTTGACAGATCTTCCAAAAGGGCACAAAACAATTGGTGTTAAGTGGATCTACAAGACAAAGCTCAAAGAGAATGGG